GATTAATCAAAATCCTCGTTTACATGATAGACCTTAATCATAGTATTGTCTTAATTGTATAAAAATTTGATTATTGGTGTTTATGTAAACAAGGAAACAAGGAAACTTTTTAATTTTTAAGAAAATCAGCCATGGGTAAACTTCACCCAGTGGTGATTCTAGTGTATGTTTATTCATTGTTAAATGTATCTAAAAACAAATGTAAAAAAAGACTAAACACTTACAAGGAATTATTACTGATGCATTATGCAAAACAAGACTAAGAAAGTGTATTAGACAGATCATTAAAAATGAAACCGGTTTGATTTTCTTCTTAAGCCGCCTCGAGATGTGTCAAAACTTCTTGGAACAAAACTTCCAAGTGTTTTTTGTCCAAACAAAAGAAATCAATTGTTCTTGTTCCACAGAAGACAAAAAGTAATGTTTGAAACAACTAAAGGAAAAATATAATAAATTTAATTTCTCAGTAAACTATGTCAGATGTCACGTTGACTTTAACATTCTTTCAAGGCTGTCATTCATAAAGCAACGATGCTGCAAAACTCCACCTATCAGCCACTGCATTATGTAAGATAAAGAAAGAGAGGCAGAAAGAGGCCAGGCGATACGAGTAGTGAGGTGTGGCTGCACTTAAGACACCGGAGAGCTCCGAGTGAATCAAACTGCTCTGGTTAAAACGAAAGCTGAGAGGAGAGCTTGAGGAGCTGCTGGCCTGCAACAATGCCATAGAGATGAGGACTGACTCCTGCTGAAATATCCTCACATGCGTCTAGAGGATAGCAGACTTTCATGGCGAGACAGAATGAGGATTATAAAAGATTTTAAAAGACAAACTAAACAAAAGACCTGAGCTTGTGACTGTTTATGAGCTTTAATTAGAATCTGCTGGTAAGAATGTATAGCAAATTACGCAATGTCTTTGTCACCTTTAAAGCACACACACATACAAACATGCAGAGAGAGAGAGAGAGAAAAAGACAGACATACTAATGCAACCAAGAGGAAATGAGAACGCATTATGTTGTTCTCAATTTTCAGTTCCAGCAGCACACAAGACCAATAGGCATGGGCCAGTGTAATTTTCTGACAGTATGATAACCTTGGATAAAACTATTACAGCTTCACAGTATTGTGATCACTGCTCTGAAATATGCTCTTTTTAAATGTCTCGGTAAAAAAATACAAACTTTTTCCCTGCTAAACCCTTTACATTTTATTTTAACATTTAAAATAATTTAAACAATAAACATGTCAGGCTTAATAATGATTATAAGTCTTTGACTGTCTTGTTGTCTACATTAGTTTCAAAAACACAGATTTCTTTACAACTTGAAAAGGCATTTTCGGATAGCTTTCTTTTTTGAAAATAAAAGTAGGTCACTGCACTGTTCATGTCTATAGCATGCTTGTATATTTGTTTTAAGGGATTTGTTTCTATAATGTTTTCTGAATCATGGACTGACAAGTAGCTTTTGATGTAAAGAGTTATTTTCTGCTGGAGATACTGTTGCCCTAAAAAATAAATGTTGAGTTTTCTGTGACAACTTAATTGTTTTAATTTCAAGCCACTTAAATTGGTCAAAAACGCATAATTTAACTTAATTTCTTTATGTTGTCCCAACACAAATCGATTGTGTGGAACCCACGATTTTTACCCCTGATTTCAGATACATTTTCGTCAATCCAATATCAAGTGGATGACGCTAAAGACAAGTGTAAATGGAGTTTATTTTTTTAAGCTTGTCTACATTTACCACTTCCATAGTTAGGTAAAACACATTTGATCAAACTGCTTTCATAGCATATGTTCATATATTTGAAGTGTTCAACCTGCCATAATAGACCTCCAGAGTAGGTGGTCTGTTGACCTAACATGTGATGATCATTACAGCATGTGTGTGGTGAGAAAGTGCAAAGCAAGGTTTCCCTTTTTCACAGAGATGTACAAAAACAGACTAATCATATTGCCTTTTACATCCTTTTTATTGACTTTCTTAAACGCTTGCTACAATTACACAGCATGGATTCGTTCATTCAGTAGTACTTCCAGCAAAACTGATATAGCCTGCCCTAGAGCATGACAATTTAAGAGGAAAGGGTGTTGTTGGCCAAATAATTACAAAAACAAATGGTCACAAGAAGCATCAGTGGAAACTGGGCCTCTGTGACAAAGGTTATACTTGAACTTTACACTGCTCTGACTTAAGCTAAATAATGACACTACTGTTTTAGAGCTGCTAAATGGAGGTCACATGACTTTAACAATGACATTAAAGTCATGATGAAGAGGACGTAGCAACTAATAATTTCTTACTTATAGTCATGTATGTTTGAGTGTAATGGATTATCAAAAAGAAAAAGGGTAAAGCAAGACTTAGTCATTTTTCAAAGTTATAAATTTGTTTTTGATTGGATTTTCCAAATTTTGGCCACCATTATGGGTCAAGTGTGAAGTCAAGCATAGTAATATCACTAAATTTTGATCTTGTGGAGAAATTATTTCGGTACCCATGCAGAAAACAGCTCATAAAACATACAGAACACTTCTTGAAAAAAAATTATTTCCTATCTTTCAAGATTAATGTTTCTGTTCTGTGAGGTTTAGAAATACAGTGCATCATTACATTTATGGTTATTCCTCATTAAAACATAGACCACAGTGTGTGTGTCTGTGTGTGTGTGTGTGTGTGTGTGTGTGTGTATACCAGCTAATGTATTTTTTTTACAATGCTACTTTTTATCTATCATATGCATTTTTAAAATAGCTTATTTACCATTTTAAGCTGACTTTAATACCTAATCACGTTGGTCATCTTCATACTTTCAATTTTGCTAATTTTGAAATAAAATAGCAACCTAAATTTCAAGCACCAAGAAATTATGATAACTTTGTGCATTAAGTGAACATCATTAAACTAAGTTACATATAGACCAATCACTTACATATTTGCCTATAAATAATAAAAAAATTAATTAATATTATTGGTGATGCACCTTTCCTACACTCATGGAGCTACAACAGTATAAAACAACAATTATGAAACCACATTACAACATAATAGCATTGATCACAACAATGATACCTCCATAATAGCTTCACTAAGAATATGTGTTTAAGTAGCCATTACAGTTACAGTGGAATGGTAAAATAATATTGGTAGAACCGGGAAATAAAACTGATTTTACCCACTAAGTGTATCACTTCAGAGCTGCAGTCCCTATGCACACATAACTGAGGATCATGCACTACTAGAATGAACCATTATAAAACAGATGGGAAACAAAGCACAGTGACACGATATGTATCGCCATCATCAAAGCAGGTACACGTATATAGGTAAATCTCTCAAACACAACATCAGACTCAATGAAACGTAGGGTGACAGTATCAGACCTGCTGATCAGTTCAACGCCGCACTGGTTTTCCATTCATGCATTAGTAATGATTTTGGTCAAGGACACATGGCTGAATAGTAATTCGCCTCATATCAAAGTCCAACGAGCTGTCAACATAACCGGGGTCTAAGTAGCCTTCAATTCAGATGCCATCAAACAAGCTGTCAAAACAGGGAGCTCCGCAGATTTAGAGAGAGCCACGGCTTTCCTCTCCCGGTGACTCAGACAGAACCGTGAACCATGACAAACCTGAACAACCTGAGTGTGTAACTTAACGACACTACAGGTGAACCAGACCAAAAACCAAAAAGAGGTTTTAACAGCAGCAGGAGTGGTTTTATATCACCTCACCTTTGGCTTCGCAGTCGGCGCAGTATTTGTTATCATCCTCTCTCAGCATTTTGGACAGAATGGCCTGATGCTGCTCGTTCAGTTTCTGAGCCTTTTCCCTCTCCGATCGCGTCGTCATCTCGACCCGTTTTCTGTCAGCGTCTCTGGATTAAAATGACCGATCTCTGCCCCCGATTGACTCTGTTCAGTTGTATCGTTATAAATGGAAGACCATCCCTTGTGAAATGAAACTATGATGGGCACACGGCAACGGAGCGACGGCTGGGTAGAGACAGATCGGCGGAATATGGCCGATTGGAGGAACTGACCGGAAGCGGAAACGGAGAAGAGGAAGGTACAGTGAGCGGATTAAAAAAAGATTTTAAATACTTCAACTGGAGAACAGGGAGAACAATTATCCAAAGTTAAGTGGTATAATATGTTTTTAGAATTTTAAAAGTCAAACCAATGCTCTGTGAAACCCAAATGTTGACGCTATTGTGACTTTTGCGTCATTGCTGACGTATGTGCGCGTCGGAAGGGATGATAGCCGGTTTGACGTAAAATATGAAATATGATACATCAGAGCTTTCAAGTGTCGAAGAATGATGCCATTTGTCAAAAGATTTTCAATCATTCATTTTCTTTCGGCTTAGTATGGGTCGTCACAGCGGAATGAACCGCCTGTCAGAAGATTCTAAACCTGGTAAATAAATCTGTTTGGTATGTAAAAGCGTTTAGCATAGCAATTGCTAAAAACAAACTTTTGATATTTTGATAATAGAAATATTCATATAAAAACAATGTATCAAATAATACGTAAATACAGTAAGTACAACTAAAGTGTCAGAAATATGGCATTGCTATATTTTAATACAGTTTTAATAAAGTACAATCTGACAAGACTTCTAATGTGGTACACATCAAAATCCCTATTGTAAGGAGAATACAATTATATTTTTATGCTGGTTATGTTATATATTTAACTATCACTGTTTGTCCAGCTTTGCTGTCTAAACGGAGTTATTATAGCAAAGCCAAATGACTGATTAATGCTGATCTGACTATCTCTCACAGCTTGTTGTTTTGGCCTGATAATAGGTTTAACCTCCCTCTGTCTGCTTATGACTGATATTGTGGTGACAATCTATTTGATGCATGCAAAAACCTTTGCAGCAATAACATTGTATTTTTATGCAATAGAATGAACTACATGATATCAACACAAACACACACACACACACACACACACACACACACACTTTACACAAAATAGTAAATGACCAACATGTCTGAACAAGTTTATTTCTTAAACATTTCAGGCACTCAAGACACTCACGTTTCCTCCTTTCAAATAGATAAGAATTAAATTTTCTTACTGTCCATTAGAAACCAAATAGAATCATTCAAGTAATTCAAACTACTTTACACAAAATTAATCACACTACAAAGTAGGCCCATACAATCAGAAGAGACATAGGCTATGCCATTTCTGGTACAGATATTGTGTACATTATAATTTATTGCATTCAAATAATTAAAATGTTTAAATAAATAGATTTAGATATCATTAAGCGGCCGAAACTAAAAGTCAATGCAACGGCCTTTTCTTTCCCAGTCACCATATCGTGTAGGTTCGGGGCCCCTGGGGCCACCCTTCTCCTTAGTTTCTGGATTTACATCATCTGGAAATCCTGTTAAAAAGAAAATAAGCACGACTTAATTGTATTAATGTTAAATATATGGCATTTAACTCGTAAAAAGTCCAACAGGCAAATCAGATTTTTGTAAACATGTGTAAATCGTTTTTCCCTTGTATAGTTTATTGTTGTGATGCAATTGTAATAAAAAGGATAACAGAAACACTTATTTCTTACTTTCAAGCACATCTTTTGATTTGGATTCAGTTTCTTCCATGTCAAAGCGCCCTTGTGGCGTTTTGGCTTTCTTTAAAGGCTCTTTATCTTTGGTCACCCCTCCGGACGCATATCCTGCTGGCCTGAGACCTGCTGCAAGGGAGAACGACATACCACACCAGATTTCAGCAAACTGACAAGCAGTTCATTAAACTCGGTTCTTCGTAATAATTATGGGTGGTTTAGAAAACTATAATAAATTAAGAATATTAAATACTACGTAGTAACTTACAATCAATTTATGCTTGCTTACGAAAGCTTTGCAATATTAAAAGTTTATTCACGATCAACGTTTTGTTTGCACTCACCAGTATTTATAGTCGACTCTAAAAACACTCGCCTGCTAGCAAAACCTCTCGCTGCAGTACAGCACACACGTAAAAGAGACATTTTGTGGACTTTCCGCTTGTCGCAGAAGAAAAATTACACAACTGAAGAATGTTTTGTCGACTGAAAATGACGCAGAGTGCGTCATCATTTAGGGACACTAATGCACTCGAGAGAGTCGAGAGGGCGCTAAAGAAGTGCAGAATTTGACGTGTTCATTTACATGGATCTGCTTTGCATGCGTTTTTAAAGAGGGACGAACGAGAAACATTACAAATTTCAATCAACAGACCCTGCTCTTCAATATAATTCAATATAATGTTACAAAACATTCTCGGAAAAATTGCAATTTTAATAGAACGAGCCATCATAGGCTAAAAACATTCATAGGCTAACACATCGTATTGCATTAACTAAACCATTCATTCACTTTTTTATCAAAGGAAAATATATAAAGTAAACATATTATAATAACATGTAAAAAAAAATGCTGGGTTCCACACAATCGACTTGTGGTAATACAACATTAGGGAAAGTAACTTATTAGTTTCTACAACTTTAAGTGGATTGAACATAAAACAATTAAGTTGTTCCAAATAAAACCTCAAGAATTGTGTTGCTTAAGCTCAACATAATAATAGCAAACATAATCTTTGAGTGTATATGCATTGTAAAAGCATGCCTAACTTTAGCTACGTTGAAATAGCCGAAAGAAAGAAAGACAGACTATACTTCATAAACATAAAACAACGTTACAAACATACGTTAGGCAACAATAGATAGCAACTTGAATCAGATGTGCAATCTTTGCTGACTCACATATATAGAGACCTAAATTCTATAGGTTGTTCATGTGTCTGCACATAGGCTTCAACTAACATCAGATAATAATAATGATTATTCTTATTGTTAGGCCTGTTATTAAAACAGTATATATATTGTTATATGTCTTTTAAAATTATTATTTAAAAAAAAATAGTTTCGAAAACTGCTTGACACTTCTCATTAATTCCAGGAAAGTTTTATTCTGGCTAAGCTGTGTTCGTGCATTTAGTTCTTGGCCTAAAATGACTCCTTTTCCACAGCATTCTGGAAAGTTTTAACCGACACTTATGTAACACATTATAAGATTTCGGAAGAGATGATGAAACTTAAACCATCTTCCGATGCAGATTGGATAAGCTTCTGGTTAGTTTCAGAAACACCAACACATCTGCACTTAATAGCACAAACACACTTTTGCACTCTCCAGTGCAAAAGACAGACATTAATCATGCAACCAAAACTGTCATTCATCACAGATATCTGGGATATATCCACCATGACATAACCTGAGGTGTTGCTATAGTTACTCAACAAAAAGCGCTAAACAAATCCAACACTATCAGCACGACATTTTATCATGAAGCTATAATTATATAAATATATAAGTCGCGCCATGTCCAAAGGAAATGAAGGAAAAACAGAAGGCTGCTTAGTCTTTCAATTATAAGAATAAGTCGATCTTTCTATGATAAACTGTTATAAACAATTGTGACTTGAAGGTGAACATGGTGCTGAGCATTGATAATTCTCCTGCTCATTTGTGGATTATCTTGACAAATTACTGCTTTAGATGGTTTCCAACCACATATACAACAAAAGACAAACTATCCAGCAATCATGAATTTACAAATGTGACCATGGACCACATTTTTCCATTTATATGATCTGTTAGGATACGACAATATTTGGCTGAGAGAGCCTATTGAAAACATGCAATTCTAAAACTGGAATTCAAAAATTAAAACCAATCAAAAACATTTAAAAAACTGCACTTAAAGATGTCCAAATAAAGTTCTAGCAATGCATATTACTAATTTAAAAAGGTTTCGATACCTATACTCATATAAGAAATATACAAAATATCTTCATGCAACAATTAATTTTCGGGTCACACTTTACAATAAGGTTTTATATTTACTAACATGAACTATCGTTAAGTAAAACCTTTTTGTAAAGTGTTAGCTAATAGTTGCGGCATTAAAAAATCAACAATTTAACCCATATTTTTGGCTATTCAAAAAATGTTCCTGCATGGATTTGTGGTCCAGGGTCACAGATAATGTTAAAATAAGTAGGCTATTTGACAACGAATAATAATTCTGGGAAGTCCCAACAACATTTCTGCATAACAAGTGCTTTATTTCACGCCCCGTCTTCACCATAGTTGCATAACAAATGAAATTCCATTATGTAGACCCTTGTAGACTACTTTTAAATCGTGTCGATTTTTAAAAATGTTAGCCCACTTAGGTTAACAAACGTGCAAAAATTCGGTCCCTCTGTGATTATAAAAAAAAATAGTAACAAAAGCCAAATTGGTAAGCCTAATAATAATAATAATATTAATTTTGTGATAACAGTTTATAATAACTGTAATATTATCCATTTTCTTTCAGTGTAGGAACAAGTTAAAAATGTGCATATAGGCTATTAAATATTGAACAAATCGACTATTTAGTACTTTGAACTTGGATACATTTACTTTTTAATTCCTTTATATTCAAAGTACACCCAATTAAACGATTTTAATAGCTTAATTTTTCAATTCACATTCTACTGACAGAGGGTATCGCGACTGTAAACTGTCAGAAGTGAAAGAGACCGTCGTAAGACAGTAAAAGAGAAACTTTAGTTTTCGCTCGATTGTGGGTTAAGAAGTGCAACCTTTCACCCTGCGTGTGCCTATTCTTTCAATAAAAAGGATTTTAATAACGACGCTTACCGTATATTTCATAGGCTACATCAGAAAGGTGGCGTTCACTATTCGTTTTAGCTTCACCAAACAAGCAGTAATGCTCCTTTTTCTCCACAAAAAAGTATTAGAACAGAGAGCCTTTTTCTAGTGACGGAGGAAGATGTGTGCTATGGCAATTTTATTTATCCATTTAGGTGTTCTAATTTAACATAGCCCATGCACAATTAGTTCTGTGGCGATTTCTGACCTAATATCAATTAAATTAAATTATTATGCTTTTAGAAAAGCCCCTAATTTAACTAAGGCTCGTACGTTTGTTATCTATATTTCATTTGTAAAATGTTGTGATGTTTAATTTAAGGTATTATAAAGTGTTATCACACGCGTCAGATCTTAGAAGTAGGTATGGTATATACCAAATAAAATGAATGCGCAAGAGACAAACCAAATGCGCAATAACAATTTGTTCGTTGCATTTTAAAATGGAAATGATCAAACCTATAAAAATCAATTTCAAAACTGATTATTCTGCACGAGAAAGGCAATTATTAAAGTTACTTTAAACAAGTTTCATGTTACAAATAAAATAGTAATTTAGTTAAAAGAAGTAATGTGCTGTTGGGATATTCCTCTGTACACCGCGCGTCCACAAGTCTCCATCAGTCAGTGTTGGGAACGCTGCTGATTTTTGCCGTGTTCTCAGTCCAGGGCTGCAGGTTCTGAAGTGCGAATAGAGAGCTGTTGTGTAGACAGATTGGGTCTGGAGTAACAGGCTGGTTTATAGTCTTTTGAAAAGCTTCTTGCTGAAGCTGCATTAGAATTCGGTTGGCTTGTTGTCGCTCGGCTTCTCTCTCCTCCGCTGTCTGCCGCCTGCATGGGTTTAACAAAAGTATTTTAGTCAGTGAATCCAGAAAATCTGTATTCGTTCGTATTCATTTGTAAAATCTGCCAGAAATGTATACAGGTAATCTTATTTACAAAGAATACAATTAGCCTATGTTTACCCCCTCTTTGTATGCATAATATATATATATATATATATATATATATATATATATATATATATATTGTTGCTTCAAACGAACACAGTTTTTATTTATAGTGTCCAACGTTCCAAAAAATATACATTTTAAATTTATTATAATTATTATAGCAAGCTTACATAGTTCATATAATAGGCTATATAGCTACTTGATGATGTGGATTTGCTAAAATAATGAACTTCGTTTACATATTTCGTTTCATAAACGTTCATATCACTTTTTTCATTAATTTAAAATTTAGTAAAAAGCTGATATAAAATGATATACGTTGGCATGTTTGTATATATATATATATATATATATATATATATATATATATATATATATATATATATATATATATATATATATATATATAATTGTTATTTTTATTTATTTTTTTAAACAGGCCAACGTATATCAATTTATATCAGTACATGTATTTGTGTGTGTGTGTGTGTGTGTGTGTGTGTGTGTGTGTGTGTGTGTGTGTAAATATCCTATAATTTGGAAGTTCTCATAGAAAATATCGCATTTAGTCGAATCATCATAATTTATATTTCACATGTCAATTATTAATTTGTACTAAATATCTCTACTAATTTGCATAAAAATGATCTAATCATAAACCTTTTTTAAATCACTATATTGAACATCAGTTAATTAACCTTCGCAACTAAGACTAAAATTTTTAGGTTATATATTGGTTTCACTATAACCTGGAATATGTTTAATAAAAATAGTACATTTAGCCACTGACATAGCTATTGATTGCATCTATATTGAGTGAACAGACCTTTCAAACCTATGGAATGCATTATGAAACTGACCCAGCTGACCTCACGGTTTATTTAAAAACAAAATACTCTGCTGGGTTTAGTGCTGAGACGAAAAAGAATGCATTACGTGTGAGTGTAAAGCCTTGATTAGATCGCAAAAGCTCACCTCCATTTCGTTCTTCTGTTCTGGAACCATGTTTTGACCTGCGCATCAGTCATTTTAAGTGCTTTCGCTAAGGCTGCTCTCTCGGCTGACGCCAGATACTTCTGACGGTGAAAGCGTTTCTCCAGCTCACATATCTGAAGGCGCGTGAACGACGTCCGGGGCTTCTTCTTCTTCGGAGGTGTTCGGTTCTGGTACGGGTGACCTATACGGCGTGTTACAGTGAACGGTGAGAGGGCCACTGGATTGAGAGACAGAGTGAAAAGCAAGCGGAAGAAATCAGCAAAACGACAAAAGCCAAGCAGTGGAAGGCAAATGCGGCTTTTAGAAAAGAAGGTTGACATTGGTCCTTTTAAAACATGCAACAATCACAAAATATATTAAATTAGTTCAGCCAAGCAAGCAAATAGACATGAGTAGGCTATCTCATTTCAAAATATTTCCTAGTAACGTGTTAAATGTTAAAATAATGAATGAAATAAAATATTTAAATAAATGTTAGACATTAAACACTTCATATTCAGCCTTGAATCAACTAGATCACATAAATGAAAGTTATTTTTGCTGTCAAATCAATGACACATTAAAGTAACAACTGTACAATTTCACTCTGCATCGTGTAGCCTATTTAATTTATAAAAAAAATGTTTATACCGCAAATAGGGCCTATCGTGTAAATTATGTATATGCTTAATTGTAATAAAGTGTGATAAATAAATAAATAAATAAATATATAAACCAAAAAACTGACAACCATGTAAAAATTGCATGCCTTGCCTACTTCTTGCATATTACCTTAGGAAAAAAAATCTCTGTGGATTTAATTTTATTTATTTATTTTTGGCCTTCAGATGCATTGCGATCGAAAAAGAGTCATTTGATTATACTTTTAATTAGCAAGGCAAAAGTTTATAGCATACAGAACTTTGAATTGTTTTTAGAAAGTCCTTAAAACATAACGTTCATTTAAATCATTTTAATCCATGAATCTGCGATGGAAATTCAACTAAATTTAAATATTTGCTGGCCTAATATCTTTAAGCTATTTTATGAGTGGGCAAATTTAAGTTTTTCGACCGCTTTAACCGCTGAGAAGTTGAATCATTGATTGCATGTATTTATACATGACGAAATCTTTTTTTACAATGCAAATTTGGAATTACGCATAATTCTGTGTAAACTAGCGCGGGCAAATATTACAGAACATTTAGATGGTCTCTGTACCTGTAAACCTGTCTTTGGTATATCTCCTGTTACTCTCCATCCACGGAAACGTTAATCCCGTGAGATTGTTAATAGTGCCCATGCTTCCCATACTTGGCACCGTGGCAGCGCTTGTGGGAATGGACGAGTGAACGCTGCCCAGCGGCCGGTGTGCAGGAACCCGGATCACTCCCGACGAATTAAGGCAATTTCCGTTAACATTCGCGCCCAAGTTCATGTTGTAGGACCCGACGCTGCAAGAGTTTCCATTGTATCCAGAGGAGTTATTGACGTTGTAGTTACCAGTCATGGTATTGTATGCTGTGCTGACTATGCAGCCCAAACCGTAGTCCAGGTCCTGCATTCTGGGGTTGGTGATCATGCAGCTCCCCTGGTCTGCATTGTTGAGAATCTGATCGATCCCAAAACTGATGGTGTCTGCGTGCGTCTGGTGGAGATGCGCTCCCATATGATCCATGGTGTGGAGAGGCGCGCGCTCCTGCGATCCCCCACGTCACCCGAGTTATCATACAGCAACTAAAACGCAGTTTAGTCCAGACTTGTCGTTATCTAACTGCATTGACTGCATGTGTGAGAAAGACGGAACTACAGACGATTATCTTTTACTGCCCCCCTTTACCCTTATAGCTATAGCCTGCCGGATGGAGCCACGGGAACATCAATCAAAATGCCAAAGAGGCTGGGTAAAATTAAGCCTCCAATTCTGGGCTGAGAGACCCAATTGGCTAGAGAAACCACGTCGAGTGTGTTCAGTGAAATCCACTGGAATTCCCTCTTCAGCACAGGGCAACTCAAATAGATGGTTTATTAAAGCAAAGCACGGCCGATTACTCAAAACAACACAAAATGTCTGCTTCGGTCAGATTATTATCTTGGCCCCACAGCCTCTCTTGTTGTCTTTGGATACATTTGATTTTTTTTTGTCTTGGTCGTCATTTTCACTCTTGTTAGACGACAAAAAAAAAAAAATCAATATTTCGCGGACATCAACTTTTGGATTAGATTTAAAAGAATTACTGTCATTTGTCAGTGTTTTAGAGAGGGTTAAGTCACACAGAGTTTATTAAAAGACAAATAGTGTCACAATGTTACATTTCATTGTGAAATTAAATCAGTCATTCATAGTCGTCTATAACTGTGTAAAACAGCATTCTTATTATAAGATGGGTTAATGTCAAGGAACTAAATGTTTCAGATTCATCGTTTATTTGAAAAATTGTTAGCCATGACATTAATTTAATTCACATAATTTTGGTTACTGATCCGATGCATTGTGACGACTACTTTTATTAATTATTAATTTTCTTTTGTATCCATTAATCTTACTAAATCAGACAATAACACAACAAAATATATTCGGATAGCAAGCACATTAGGTAATCGATTTCCTTCTAGATGAAAGGGGATGTGATTATTTAACGCATTAAAGTATTAATATTTGATGCGCTTTAGATTAATGCAGGCCAAATGACCGACATCAAAGTTTAATGAGTGCAATGGTGTGTATTTTTGCTAAAATTCTTTGTTGTTTGTTTCAGTAATCTAGACTTAATCATAAATGTTATATACGTGAGCTGCATGGTGCTTAAAATACAAACGATTAGTTTGTTTTATACGTTTTAAAAGAAAAAATATGAAGTCAGTAGATGTTGAAAGTGCTGAAATCATTTGGGACGGTCCGATTATGTTTAATTATAGCCATTATTCACTCACCAAGGTCCACTTGAAAAGTGTCATTTATTGCGCACCCACTTAAGGCTTCACTTTATTCATCTGATGCAAACTGATGTGACTGGAAATATATTGACTTAAATTTCAAAACAAACACGTTTATCAAAATGCATTTAAAGAATAAATGCATAGAAAAGAGTTTCTAAGTGAATTCCTATCACTGTTTTTTTCATGCGCAAATCTGTTTTGAGGTTTTCTCGCGTAAAATGTGTGTGCAAACAATTACGGTTTATCCCTTTGATACAATGACAGATTTTCATAATTATTTAATTTTCTTTCCATGACGCTTAAAATAATTTACAGATTGATGTGCTATATAGGAAAACAGTCTTTAAATGTGTCTTCCCCCATACGTGCACCGTTTTTTCGTTAGAATTGTCTGCGGCGCATCATCATCCTCATCAGTCTATACCTGTGTAATGTTTGACATGTGATCTATCTGCGCTCACTGGCGCCGCTTCCATCATCTGCATCTGTGGAGAGCGCGCAGTCCTGCTGCTGACAGCTTCAAGAGCATCTATTCATGAAGGGCTTTCATCTACACGCCAAACAATCAAGCCATTTCGCTTTACTCAAATTTGCAACTATATAGCATCATTCTAAAAATGATAGATTCTAAGAGCGGCTTAAAAAAATCTATTTTAAATAATACTAGGGTCTATAGGGACCCGCAAGGGGCCACAAGGGAGTGACAGGGGATCCATGGAAATTTACATATATTCAGTATAAAATAATATAGAATTGAATTAATAGAATTAATTAATAAGTCTAAAATAAAATAAAAATTTGTCAGATGAATGCAACAGTGTACTGTTAGTAAAATATAAAAATAAAAAGATTTTAAGTGAATAAATACAGTAATATAAGTTCTATATTTTGTATTATGATTTATTACTTCATTTTTTCAAAGTATAAATTTAGTATATAAACATTAAACAATAAAGGTGGTAAATAGTGACCAGCAAAATATGACAATGGTCATATTTGTGGGTCCATGAAAGATGGAAATCCATGCATTACAGAGACAAATATTAAATTTCAATCATCCTTTAGAATTTGGAAAAAGATTCTTCAGATCATTAAAATGTATTTTTTGTTAAGAAAAAATATTTCTCTAAGGAGCTGCTCACTAAACGGTTATTTCGGAAACTATATCTCTTTTAAATTCATATTTTCTAAAGGGCACTTTACAATAATAAAATTGTGTATATAAATTAGATTAGTTAGTTATAAAAATCAAGAGAAACAAAGAAAATAGTTACAAATTTGTAGTTTGTAAAAATTGTTTAATAACTAATTTGAATTTAAATGTATTATCTTTATATTCCTAAATATATAATTGTTTAATAAAATTGTTTTGTTTAAGTGCACCAAAATATATTAGCAATGGATAAAAATATTTTTTTCTCAAATAGGGTTGTACTTATTTGTGCTGAACACTGTATAATGCAAAAACACACTTTTTTATGATCTTTAATTTTAAGAGTGAAATCGTGATTTTTACACCTAAAAAGAACTTAAGGTAGAGTATATGGGAAATCATTGCTTTATACTTTAATCTATTTGTAAAGCTACTGCTGTAGAAGTACAGTTCTCAGCTCCATGACAAAGGAAACAGGCTTTTATTTTTGGAGGACAGAATGTCAGGTTCACTGTCTTTAACCTCTGAAATAGATTGATGAACCCAGCAAATAGAGCTTCTTAATGCATTATGTCAAAGGGGAAGAAAACCGGGCATTTTTTTTGGCCTGTATTGTTAAAAAGGAAATTCGAGAACACAACTGCTTATATATTTACCACATAAAAAACTATAACCATTTTTTAAAAGACTTGCATTCCGAAAAAAAATAAAAAATTCTCTTTAGCTTTCATATTGATCTATAGTTTGAAGCAAAAACTGCTTCTCAAGGGAGTGTGCGAGCAAAAAGTAAATGAAAAACACGCAGCACTGAGGTGAGTCAGAAATTGTCTGAAATGATGACCAAGCACCAGTTAACAAATGTCCTGTTCAGTTGCTGAGGTGCTGAGGGACGTTACATCCATTAACTTGTTGTGTCTCCCATGCTAATGACTTGTTTTACTGGATAATGTGTCTGTCATAGTCTGGACAATTATTTGATAGATTACCATTCAATATAATATTTCTTACAGTCGAGAAGGAAAACAAAATGCTTTTGCAATGAGAAAATAGCCTGACGGATGTAAATTCAACTGCAAGTAAAAAAGGCAAATGAATAAACTGGCAGTTTGCACTACCACAAATAAAAGAAGTCAAAACAAGGCTATATTATGACTCTGTGAGGACAAATTATATGACGTCTTTCATCAAATAAGACCAATGTTCTGTAATTAGGTTACCATTAATCATTTTCGCAGATAATCAATATTGTTGAAGATTCAAGTCAAAGAGGAAATTTTAGTGTTGCATAAAATTTAATTTACAAAAGTGATTTTAAATGTCAAGTGTCCACTTAAATGTTTTGAATAGCTTCTTGGAATAAAATGTCAAAATTAGTTAAATAACGTTTCGATTTTATTTAATGTAAACCGATAAATATGTAAAAATGAAATAACATACCGGTTTTGACCCGTATTATTAAAATTTGTAAAAGTGATCATTCAGCATCTATATTTAAAATAATGTTAAAATTCATGTTGACGATGAGCAAAACATACTGTAGTGGTTTGAACGACATCAGCACAAAATCACAACAACAGTTTGTCAAGGTGTAATTTCGACTAGCTGAAAAAAAGTCTATAGCCTGAAAGATTGGAGTAATTTTAAAAGTTTAAAACAGACAGGCAGGCAAATGTGTTGGCAGGCAAATGGGTTTCTTTGCGCTCGCAAAGTTATCGCTTTGGCAACTGATATTTTATGTGATAACTAGGTTGTTGTTATTTGGTTGTTAGGGTATTCTGGGTGGGTGAAAGTATGCTGTCATGCAATTGCCAATGTATTTTGAGTGGTTGCTAGGTTGTTGCTATGTGCTTTCTTGTGTGTTCCTCTCAGTTTCTAGGGTGTTGCTATGTACTTTTTATTTGTTCATCTCAGTTTCTAGGTTGTTTCTAAGGTAATCTAAATGGGATGGATGGATGGATGGATGGATACAGTAGACAGACAGACAGACAGACAGACAGACAGACAGACAGACAGACAGACAGACAGACAGACAGACAGACAGACAGACAGACAGACAGACAGACAGACAGACAGACAGACAGACAGACAGACAGATAGATAGATAGATAGATAGATAGATAGATAGATAGATAGATAGATAGATAGATAGATAGATAGATAGATAGATAGATAGATAGATAGATAATTTTACCCTCAAATTAAAAAAAAACTACAACTTCCAAAGTATTGACCTGCAGGCTTCATGATGCTGACTGCCAGTGGTGTGCTTGTGATGGCTCTGATCACTCACAGGTTGAACTGGAACACAGATTTATTGTGTAAAGCTGATCTACCAGCAGCACATGGGAAGGCTCATTTCATCCTGCAGGCACCATGTGGATTCACTCGCCTCTCTAATAGTGGACTTGACACCCATGACAGCGGAAGCCGCTCCTCCCCTGCAGCCGCTGGATGCTGTGTCTGTCCTCTCAAATGCGGGTGCATCCTGTCGCCTGGTTTATTTAGGGGAGACGGGTGAAGCCGGCCTCACTTCCCCTTTCCATCCTGAAGGCATCGGCCCAGCTGGGACCTGTTCACTTCACAGAGATGGATGGACTCATCCCACCAGCTACTGGTCATTATGTGTGAGCTAAACACTATTGCTTTCCCTCCAGAGGTCCACATGCAGACCTAACCGGGGAAAAAAGACTCTAGCAG